ACACAAAAAGGTTTGATGCTTTAGTCATAATAACCCCCAGTAAAAACGGCCCAGAAGAATGTATCCACTGGCATGAGAGAATTCTACTCAGCAATAAAAATATACTGATAGTACACCACAGAGATGAAATTCAAAATCATCCTGAGTGAAAGAAGTTTTACTCAAATGAGTACATATTGTCTAACTCCCTTTATATGAAACTTGCAAACAGCTAAGACTAGTCCATAGTGATAGGAATCAGCACAACAGTGGTTTCATCCATCAGGGGAGAAACTGGTTGCAATGAAGCATAAGGGAAACATCATGAGACACTAGAAATGTTCTATCTTGATAGGGATGTGGGTTATGTGGTTGTATACATTTTTCAAAACACATCCAACTGTACACGTTTAAATAGGTGCATTTACTTTAAATAGGTAGGTAAATTATACTTCAATAAAAAACAGTCAAAAATGAAAAAATAACTAAGCCTGAAGAAAGAGCAGATGAAGGCCAACTGCTTATGAACACCAAAAATAAGACAGTGGTTAATGTCACCTGGAACCATAAGTCCATAATGATGTCAAATGCTCAAAAGCCAGAAGGTATGTTTTAAAAAGACACATATCACATATTGTGCAAATCAAACACAAAAGGCAAGTGTGAGCCAAGGATGTTGGACAGGTGACCATCTATCAAAGATGAAGGGGTAGACTGTGAGAAAATGACGTTGGCCCAACATCAGAAGCACACAGATAAGATGATATTAAATTAGAATGACCATGTGGATTGTGGGAAAATAGAGTTTATAGAACACTGCACAGCTGGAGGAAGACACATTTTTCAAGGACCTGGTATTGACTTTGCTGGCTTTCCACAGATGAGGACATGGCCTTGCTGATCTTGGTTCAAAGATGAGAAAAGACACTAATTAATATTTCATTTAAAAGTAGTGTATGTAGCTCATCCCATACTAACTCTCCTGCTGATATTTATAACTCTGGAAAAATATAGAAAAGAAATATTGCTTGACTTCGCTGGAATTCAACCCAAAGCAGGCAAAGACTGGAGAAGATACGACCCTAAAACAATGGAAGCACACTGCATGAAATCCACATGTACTTGGCTTTTCCTCTGAAGCCGCCTGCATTTGCTTGCTTCATTGGACAGGAGCTTGAGCAGAAGGCTGCAATTTTACTGGGCTGAGGATTCAGAAGACAAATGTAGGGCGGCCATAGAGGCTGCAAATTGAGGAGGAGACATGTGAGAGGAGAAAGCCACAGGCAGGGAGGCTCCAAATCTGTATATAAATTCATCTTAAGTACTTAACTGACCCCTGAGCTGTGCATGTGCAGAGCAAAGCTCCAGAGTCCAGGGGCAAAACAGTTGAAGGAAAAAGAGCTGAACAGAGATCTCAGTAGCTGATCAGTGCTGGAGACTGAAACAAGGTAAAGGGGTACAGTGAACACGCTGGGCTTCCTCTGAAAACCCAGAAGTCAAGACTAAGCCTCTGGACTCAGGGAAATGGAAAGAGATCTGTTCAACAAAGCCTAAAACTAAACTTCCACAAGATCAAGCTAATGAACTAGTAATTTAACTGTCTGCAAGAACAAAAATGAGGCTAGTCTATGTATGTAAATATCCCCTTAAACCAGCAGTCCACAAACCTTTCGAGGACTCCAAGACACTTTTGTTTATGTGGGTTACATCTACCAATATTTGCTGTGTTAGAAATGAAAACTGAGAAGAAAACTATCCCATCTACAACTGTGTCAGAAAGAATAAAGACCTAGGAATAAATTTATCCAAGGAGGTGAAAGACCTGTACACTGAAAACTACAAGAAGACATTGATGAAAAAAGTGGAAGGCACAAATAAATGCAAAGGAATTCCATGCTCATGGGTTGGAAGAATTAATATTGTTAAAATGTCCATGCTACTCAATAAAAATATATAGATTTAATGCAATCCTTATCAAAATTTCAATGGCATTTTTCACAAAAATAAAACAGACAATTGTACAATTCATATGGAACCACAAAAGACCCCGAACAGCTAAAGTAATCTTGAGAAAAAGGAACAAAGCTGGAGGCATCATGCTCCATTTCCTGATTTCGAACTACATTAACACTGTAGTAATCAAAACAGTATGCTATTGGCATAAAAACAGATACATACACCAACAGGAAAGAAAAGAGAGTCAAGAAATAAATCAACACATAGATGGTCAATTAACTTATAACAAAGGAGGCAAGAATATACAATGGGGGAAGAACAGTCTCTTCAATAAGTCATGCTGGGAAAACTGGACAGTCACATGCAAAAGAATGAAACTGGACTAGTACCTTACATCATACATGAAAATCAACTCAAAATGGATTAAAGAATTGAATGTAAGACCTGAAACCATGAAACTCCTAAAGGAAGACATAAGCAGTAAGTTCCTTGACATGGATCTTAGCCTTGATTTTTTGGATCTAACTTCAAGCCAACAAAAGCAAAAAACGGACTACATCAAACTAAAAAGCTTCTGCACAGCAAAGGATATCATCAACAAAATGAAATGGCAACCTATCAAATGGGAGAATATATATGCAAATCATAGATCTGATAAGGGGTTAACATCAAAATATATTAGGAAATCATACAACACAGTAGCAATATAAAAAACAATCCAATTTAAAAATAGGCTGAAGATCTGAATAGACATTTTTCCAAGGAAGACACAGAGATGGCCAATGGGCACATGAAAAAAAATGTTCAACATCACTAATCATCAGGGAAGTGCAAATCAAAACCACACAGATATCACCGCACACCTGTTAGAATGGTTATTATCAAAAAGACAAGAGATAACAAGTGTTGGTGAGGACGTGGAGAAAAGGGAACCCTGTACACTGCTGGTGAGAATATAAATCAGTGCAGCCGCTATGGAAAACAGTATGGGGGTGCCTCAAAAACATAAAAATAGAACCTCCATATGATCCAGCAGTTCTACTCCAGGTATATATCTGAAGAAAATAAAAATACTACCTTGAAAAAAATATATGCACCCCCACATTCACTGCAGCATTATCTACAATAGCCAAGCTATGGAAACAACCTAAGTGTCCATCGATGGAGGAATGGATAAAGAAGAGGTGGTATATATATATATATATATATACAGATATGTATATATGCGCAATGGAATGCTATTCAGCCATAAAAAAGGAAATCTTGCACTTGCAACAACACAGATGAACCTTGAGGGTATTATGTTAAGAGAACTAAGTCAGAGAAAGACAAATACCATATGAACTCACTTATATGTGAAATCTAAAAAACAAGCAAACCCCAAGCTCAAGAACAGATTGGTGGTCACCAGAGAGGTGGAGGGCTATCAGTAAAATGGGTGAAGGGGGTCAAAAGGCAGAAACTTCCAGCTATAAAATGAATAAGTCATGGGAATACAATGTAAAAGCATGGTGACTATTGTTAATAACACTGAATTTCATATTTGAAAGTTGCTAAGAGACTGGATCTTAAAAGTCCTCATCACAAGAAAGTTTTTGTACTGTGTATGGTGACAGATGTTACACTTATCATGGTGACTATCTCACAATATATACAAATATTAAATCATGATGCTGTACACCTGAAACAGATATAATGTTACCTGTCAGACCTCATTAAGATTGAGAAAGTTTTAGAAAAATTTATATTTCAATTCATTTAGGAAAAAATAACCTCATGTTCATGTAGACAACATTTTTTGTTAAAGAAAAACTACATAAGCTTCTCAGAATTTAAAAAAAGCGAAATGAGTGGCATTATTTTGCATTATTGCAAGTCTCTTCAAAGTTTGCTATAAAAGCTGACTTCTAGATTTTCATATATGCTTTTCCATGCAATTTATTGCAATATCAGTGTTTTGGAGAAAATCCGACTTCACAGGGTTCTATATTGGGGAAAGAAAAGAACAGTTTAATAGCCTTATTTAGATAATTGTGGATTTTTTTTGACACTTCACCAAAACTCAGCAACTGACAATTCCTTAAAGATTAATGTTGACATGGAAAACTTTTTATACTGTGTTGCATAAAAATCCATTGGTCTATCCTGCACTTTGAATAGATCTTTTACCCAGGCATGATTTTGTTACTCACACAACGATTTTCTAAGTCATGCGCTGGTCATTTAGGAAATACTGCTTCACTGAGTCAGGCAGATCTTTCAAGGGTCGATAAAATTTGTTACACAGTATCAAAAAATCACCTTGGTTACTGTCACCACTGATCCGATCAGAAACGTCTCTAGATACTGGGTAGCTGGCACATACAACAGTGTATACATGTTTTCCCAAATTCTACTTTTCACTTCAAAGCTCAATATTTATCATTGGCAGTAAATACTGTCAGTTCTTTTCCTTGAAGTGACAGGCTCGTGTTGTTCATTTCTGAGAAAACATGTGCCTGATCCTCGAGCCTGAATAACTAGTTTATCTGTCATTCATTCTATAAAATAAAAATAGGAAAATGCAGCCAGTTCAACATGCAACTCAAATCCACAAGTGTTTTTCCTTGAGACAACCCTCATACTTTGGCATGCATAAAAAATCTTAAAATCATGTGTACTTTTAAGGTCAAGATTTAAAGACATGAATAATTTTTACTCCATCAGGACTTTTTAAAGTAAAAGTGGTATTTTATCATTATTATTATTTTTACTGCGTGTGTGTGTGTAGGCAACAAAAATGCTGAAGTGCCTGCGGTTTTACTCACCATTGCTTCCAGACAATCAGTGCAAATGTCAACACAGCGAAAAAAGTAAATAAAGAAAACAGCTTTGGCCTTGCTGACCCCCCTGAAAAGGTTTGAAGACGCCCAAGGGTCTGCAGATCACACACCGTGAACTGCCGCCTTTATCTGAAGCGCACTGATTGTTAATCGAATTCTGGAAATACATTAACATTGACAGAAGCTTGAGTAGGAAGGCATGTAAGTATGATTAAAATCTGACTTTTTTCTCACCTCTGGCAGGACTCATGGACAGTGTGCCTTGTGAAGATCCAAAGTGCAATGGAAAATCCCTTCCAATTTGCTGCATCTGCTCCTGTTGTCTGAAGCTGTCTATCAATAAATTCTCTAATCCTTAGCTAAGTTAATCAGAAATGAGTCACATGAATGAATGGATTCTTTTGGCCCATCGAGACTCGAAACACTTGCACGCACATTATCTCACTGAATCTTCACAGGAAGTCACAAATATTTCCTCTCCCCCCCAGCTTCACTTGCTTTTTAACAATAAATTTGGAACCTGGAGTAACAGAAGAGAAACCGGAAGGTTCGCTTTAGCTCAGGGCCCTAAGGGGTGTGTCTTTTTCAGCAGGACCTTCAACCATCTTACTTCTGGCCTACCAGTTCTCTCAATACCCTTTGTGTCGGTCTTTCTTAATCTTGGATGCACATTGGAATTACTTAGGGAGCTTTACAAAAGTCTGATGCCTTCATGCCACCCCCAGAGATGACATAATTTGCCTGGGTGCAGACAGGGCATGGAGAGAATTTAAAAGCTTCCAAGGGGATTCTCACATGCAGCCCAAAGTGCAAATCACTCTTTCGGAGGAGGTGAGAAGGATGCCGATACAACCACTGATAGAAACATTCATCAAAGTCATGGCTTCTCTGGCTATGGCCAATATTCAGAGTCTGCATCACGAAGTTAGAATTATGCTTAACTCATTTAAAATACAGCACTTGCTTCTTCTTTGGAGAATGACATAGGAACGATGCAAAGCATCTAGATTTGTCGATCAGAATCCACTTTGCTGGTCAATGTGCGGCGTGAAGATGTATTTCTATTATGGTGTCACTTCTGAAAATGCTCAGCTTAAGGATTTGTTTTCCTGTTCTATGGCTGTGTCAGAGTCTGGGGAAAATTTAATTTCTGTGCAGAGTTTGGAATTTTGTTTTGTCTGTGTGTCTGTCTGTCTCTCCATCAGAAGTGACAAGTTCCCCCACAGGATGATGCTGTGCTTAGGCAGCAGTGCTCTGACACTAACAAACTTATTTCAAATGGGATGGAAATGCTGTCACCTGTCTGACCAGGATCAAATCTGAATCCTTCTGAGTATCTTTCAATGTGTCTCTTAGTTTCATGGAATTCCATTTGACTCCTAGGCAGGCTATTACGTGGGTTTCTGATGCCCTCTGAGACTAAGCATGGATCCAAAGGCTTGCAGAGAATAGTCACTTCTTTCTTGGAGAACTTGAATGGGAAGAAATACTCTTGTTTCTCAACAAGTGGCAGCAATTTTAGATGCTGGTCCTGTGAAGGGACTGAGTCCAAGGTCCTGTAGAGTGATGCTGCTTGGAGTGCAGTCCTCCAACTGGCTGCTGGTCCCTGGACCATTTATTAGTGGTTCACAAAGAGACAGGGAGCTGGCCCCAGAATGTAAATCAGCAATGTCAATAAATGCATTATTTAATTCGGCTGATACTTTTTGATAGCAAAATTTTCTCAGAGAAGGAAACAGCATGCTGATTTACATTCTGCTGTAAGCTCCTCATTTCATCATGGACCAGTGCTCTGCGTAGCCTTGCTCCAGAGGAGGACCAGAGGAGAGACACTTGTTCCTCTGTCTCTGTGGGAACAATTAGGAACTTAAGAATTAGAAAAAGGAAACACAGTAGACTTTTCCAAAGGCACAGTAGCTCTTGTACCAGCCTGAGTAGCCTCAGTCATTGCTAGATTTCTATAAGACAGCCTATGCAGTTTGGGTCAGTAATTTTGTTTAAGAGTTCTAGACAGGCAGTGTAGACTAAGTAATGTCTTAGGCTGTAAAGGCCCATGTCTGTTAAAACAGGCTTGGCCAGAATATACACCAGTTGTCATATAGGGCAGGGAATGTGAGTTAACTGCAAATCCTGAGGAATCTGATGTGTTCCCAGACTGGTGGACCATTCCCTTCTTTTTCTTTTAACTTTTTTTTTTTCAGAGGAAGGGGTAATTTGGTTGGTTGGTTGATTGATTTAACAGAGGTACTGGCGGTTGAATCCAGTACCTTGTGCATGCTAAGCATGTGCTCTACCCTCCCCGCCATTTTCTTCTTAGAGAAAACTCTGAACTCAGTTTGTGAAGAGTCACCAACTAAAGTAACCTGGGCTGCTTCACAAAAAAACAAAACTGCAGCCACATTGGCAGCTTTTACTTGGGAGTTATCTCGTTTGAAAAACAAAAAACAAAAACGGAATGACTAAAGAGCATTCTGATGTTTTAGTCCTGGTGCAACAGTTAGGAGGCCTGGGCACAGACATGACCTTCTCACTGATTACCAGTCTCAAGACTGAGCAAGAGCATTTAAGTACTTAAGAAGAATCAGTGTTGATTCTGCTTTTTGAAGTTCATTCTGAATCACACACAATCTGTCACACCACTGCACTGAATCTGTCTTTGAGGTGAGCTGCACTGTGGATGCAAATCATTCATTGATTCATTCATTCACCAGGAATATGTTGCAATTAGCATAGTTCATTGATCCTGAGATGCACTGTTTTTTCCCACATTTTAACATCTCTGAAGTGGGGAGTGTTACCACCAATATTTTTTTTTAGTCTAAGAGCTGGTGGGAAACAGATGGGAGAGTCTACTGGGAATTGAAGAGGATATAATGAAAGGCTGATTTATAATGGGTAAGCAAGGTAAAAGGAACTTAATAAAGGATACTGAGATGCTTCAAAGCCAGCAGCATCAGAGGACATCTACCACCCTTGATCTGAAGGGCAAGCAGAGGGAATGATTACTGGAACCCAGAGAGAACTGGACATGTAGTTTTAGGACAGACCACCTATGAGGAGCTGTGGTAGAGGAACACAGCCTTTTACAAGCCTCAGCCCAGCAGGGAGGGAGCAAGGGGAATAAACACCCTGAACTTTCTCTCCCGCAGTCCTCTCATCTCCTGGTATTGGCTCCCATTGGCCAAACCCAACTGAAAACCAGAGGGTGAAGGAGCAAAGGCCAAAGCAGTTTGGAACATTGCAGAGAGGGCCTCTGGTGGGGCAGACGGAGAATATCCAGCACAGTTCAGCCCTTTAACCCTCAGCATTTACTCTTTTGTCTGAATAAAAATCTCATGTCCCCATCACCTCCTACAGAAGTCAGCAAACTACAGCCAGCAGAGGCAGGCTGGCTGGCTGTTTTGGTAATTTACTGGGAC